GGAGAAACCGTCATGGTGTGGGGAGCCATGTCCTGCACGAGTATATCAGAGCTAGTGGTGGTTCGAGGCAATCTTACGGCAATCTTACAGCAATCTTACAGCAGTCTTACATCGACCAAATACTGCGACCTCACCTCCTCCCACTTTTTAACCGCCAGAGGGAGCTGTTTCAACACTACAACGCTCGACCCCACACAGCTCGTGTAACAGGTGCCTATCTCGCCATTGCAAACATCAATGTCCTTCCCTGGCCTTCCAAATCGCCTGATCTGAACCCGATAGAGCATCTGTGGGACGATCTTGATCGACGCGTCTGTAAATGTCACCATCGTCATCAGACACTTGCACAACTTGCCAACGCGTTGCAGGAGGAACGGCGAAGAATTCCCCAAGCAAACATCCGACGACTCGTGCAATCCCTTCCAAGGCGCTGTCGAGCAGTGACGACTGCAAGGGGTGGGGTCACCAGGTACTGAACTGAACGCCCCGTTGTGTCCACACATGTGCAGTGAGTGAACTGAATTAATGCTGACAATGACAACAATACATATGTTCATCCGTGTGTCGAATTTCCTTTATCTATGTTCAAGCTTAATCGACTTATGTACACTTAAATACGTTTAACAATTCCCGTATTTTGAAGAGTGTATTACATTAAGTACCAAGACAAGAAAACAGTTCGTTATGTAGATAGTTTACGGTAATTTGTTATTTATTCACATTCAGTCCACTACATAATCAGAAACGTATAATATGAACTCGTTTTACGGTTTCAGTTATATGATTCAATAAGCAATGGTGTTTTATTGTCAATGAAAAAATATTATGAATAGCGAAACACAGACAACAGTTAGTCAAAGATTATGATAGATAGCATTACGGATATAACATTTAGGGGTTCTTAAAGCATACCTAGACCCATAAAACGACAGTTAGCTTCACAAACATCCACGGACAATCCTTTGTAGCTCCGTAAAGTGTTTTTGAGTACTTATAAGACAGTTCACAAACATTAGTTACTGCGTATAGCTACGTACATGTATGTGTTTATAAGATTTTAATTCAGTGTGTTTTTGCTTGCATGCTATGCGGATTTGAATTGTTTGTACACGTATTTTTTACGTTTATTCCCCATAAACACGTACAATAGTTGAGTCAATCCTTTTATAAGTCCTCCTACTAATTATATGACTGTGACGTGTAAATCTTAAATGATAAATTACTAACGATTAGTCAATGACATATGTTTTTCTGTCAATAATTCGAGACAGGATGCATAAATTGAATAAACTGTGAAGTTCTCTCACACAAGCAATGAATTTATCTTTGAGTGAAAGTTGTCCAGGTGTAACGTCCCTCAAATAATATTCAACTGTCAATAGAGATATATATTCTTGATAGAAACATAACTTATTTGATTCACAAACTTTAGAAAACCAATCTTGCTGGTGGCAATCTTTAACTCTTTGCATAAACTTACTAAGAAATAAAGAACAAGTACCAACTCCTGGGAGATCTAAACAAATCCAAAACCATAAGAGAAAAGTAATATTTTAACCTTTTAAGCCCATGTAACACGATTACAGTCGTCTAAAGATTTACAAAGAAGAGAGCTTTGCTATTATGACAATCAACAAATAAGCCATATCTACCACATTCACCAAGAGCAGCAACTTTAGAGACATACAGATAACTGCCTACAGCAATAACATGTTTACAAAACTTAACATGAAAACGCTCGATGCATTCAATTTTGAATGACCCCACACTTCACTAGAATAGAGTAAAAAGGGCTTAATCTGAGCATCAAATATCTTGAATAAAACTAAAGAAGAAATGTTCTGAAACTTACACTGTAATTGTTTAACGGAAACTAGGGCTTTTGATGCTTTTTGAACAAGACATAACCTGTTAGAAAACGTTAACCCAAGATGATTATAATAGGTCGATGTCTTTATAGTTTTATTGCCAAACATCCAATTTTCAGAAAACCTTAATTTGCCACCATTTCTAAAAACTAAAATTTCAGTTTTATCTAAATTGACATCCAAACCCCATTTCGGTGCATTTGTCTTTCATCGACATGTCGTTGGATTACATCTTGTATACGTGCTTGCTGAACAAGTAAAGTGATTTGCTATTTTGGCAGCTGTGTAACCCTTCTTCAGCAGACATGCCATCTGGCTGGTCGACACTTGTGATACACCCAAATCTATGTAAGTGCCCAATGCCTGCAATGTTCACACAACACGGGTTGTCCTTTGAATCTTTGAAATCTTATTCACAGAGGCTAAAAGGACAAAGTTATTTTACAAAGACACAACTGCTGTAAAACACAAATAAAATATGCAAGCAACGGGCAGTGGTGCAGATGCACTACTCCGATGCAGCTTAAACACCTAATGTTTCTGTAAAAACATTTATAACAACTTCAAGTAGGAGGCAGTTGTGATTTGTTCATTGATATCTTTTCTCTGTAAAGTGGTTTACCTGTATTTTTCTCCACATGTTACCCAAATAGATATGTAACATGGACACAAATACAAATTCTTAGTTAATTCTCGTGTGAACCAGTGAAAAAACTTGTCGTTTAATCTTTTATCTGATGGTTGTGGAAGGCAATGTTTAACTGATTTAACTGATAATGGCCCCAACACGAAAGTATTGAACTGAACGCCCCCTTATATATATATACAGTATATATTCAATTGAGATTAGTGAGAAGGGATTGGGGCTATTCGTGCTGGGGCCATTATCAGTTAAATCAGTTAAACATTGCATATATATATTTCTGTAATTGACTTTAAAAGTTAATTTAGAAAAAATACTAGCACCAAACTCAAGACTCATACTTTTGCTGTATCCTACATCCTATACCCTAGTGCAGAGTGCGCCACTCTCGTGGAACTTACTGGACCGGACACGAATTCTTTGACTGTTGGTCATACTTGTGGCACTTGAAGGGGGTTCTCAACTTCTCGCATAAATTGAGCAGCTGCTGGATTGGCTGTCTGGCGGACAAGTACTTCGCATTTCCAACTGAAGGCGATATACGATGTAAATTGGATAACCAGTCTGGAGGAGTTGCTTAGCTGACGAAATATTGGCACTTTCAGTCAACAAACGCTGTATGTCACCCATTGTTGAATGAATACGATCAAGAACCTGTTGATAATTGTCAGCACCGCCCGCCATGATTAGAAACAGGACTTTACAGACGGCAGTACTTGAAGATACAAATGTATCTATAAATAAGCGGAAGTATTTAATAAGAGCAACCATTCAAGTAATTATGGATATGTAACCGGAAGTATTGAATATTACTTGAAATCGTTTTCAATATCTCTATTCAAGATATCTTTAATTCATTTAAAGATATCTCCAATTCAATTCAAGATATCTTTAAAACAATTAAGATATCAGTGATTCCTCAATACATTTTCTCTAAGATATCTTTAATTCATGTCAAGATATCTCTAATTCAATTCAAGATATCAGTAATTATTTCAAGATATCATTAATATGCTTCAACATATATTTAACTCATTTCACGATATCTTGAATTTTATTGGTGATATCTACAATCATCTGTATTCGAGATATCTTCAATTCAATTCAAGATATATCTATATTCATTCAAGGGACATTTAAAACAATAGGAGATATCTTTAATTTCTTAATAAAAATGAAACGGCTTGCCATAGCACCGCTCAAAAACTTCAAAGACTTTCCATTCCACCCTGCTACATGTATTAACCAAGGACAAGTTGTGCCTTTTGCAAGAACTTTAAGAAGATGAATTTGTTTCTTGTTTCCATGACAACAAGTTGACTTTCACTCTGTTTATAGTGGTGTGTTTGTCCCGACCATGTCTCTAAAAATAATAGGTATTCTTTCATGAAACAGTGTGCACACAAAGACCAGGTTGTCAAATGGTGCTTTTGTGCTACTTGAATGGGTTGTAAAGAATATATTGCAGCATGATTTTGACTGTTCAGAGTGTTGTGTTGTGTTTGTCAGGACCATATCTCGAAAGAGATTTATGTATTCTTTCATGAAACTGTGCAACTGCTGCCTTTTGCTATTAGGTATTTTTAGAATTTGCATTTTTTCCATTGACCTTTAAATTGGTCTGTACCTGACATAGAAGTATATACAAAGTTACGAATGCCAATTCCATTTCATTGTTTCGATGGCTCAATAACTACTCTTGTATACAGACGGGCGTGTTAGACAGAATTTCTCTGTCAGATGATTTGTACTTGTTACACATCCACCCTCTCTATCATAACTTACTGGGTTCATGACTGGGTTCATATGCCTACCATGGTAAAACCCGAGTCAGCCTTGCCGTATCTGGCCTCGCATTATCTGTCGTGCTGGAAAATGGTTTCACGAGGCTGTTGGTTGAATGGCTACAACTGGTTGTAAAATATTGTCTCGATAATGCTGTACATTCAGGTTTCCTCGAATAACGATGAGCCTCGTTTTGAGCCTTGATGGCTGGCTCAACTAAATTGTTTCAACAAAACTTTTAACACATTTAAATGGAAAGTATTTTACTCATCCCCTGAGAATGTCATATCCAAAGATATTAAGATAAGGTAGTTTTTTCCTGCTTGGCACTGAGGACATGAAGTGAGTGAGTGAGAGAGGCTAGTTTTACACCGCTTTTAGCAATATCACTGCAGGGGACACCAGAAATAGATTTCACGTGTTGTACCCATGTTGTGGGATCGAACCTCAGTCTTTGGTGTGATGACTGAACACTTTACCCACTAGGCTATCCCACCGCCCTCATGAAGCAAGGACTGTTGGGCTCAGAGTCTGTCTCCTTTGCCCCAGGGGCATCCACGCTAAACATGCAGTTAGGCTTCTCAGTGAACTAGCACTACAAACAGAAACAACTACAATGATCTGCTTACACATACATGTCACTATATTAAAGAAACAATCTGCAACATTAAACATGCCAGTAACATCAATACAAAACACATGTAATCTCATGAAAACTTTATTTACACATTGGAAGTTTAATTCTAGCAGTTATTATTTTGCCCAATGGAACTTGTTTAAAACATGAGTGCTGGAACACAACACTTTAGCCACTGTGTTGTCAGGCACATTCTACAAAACAATTATCACAAGAAACAGTTCACATTTTATCTGAGGACATGAAGCTGTCTGTCAAATAGATTTTGGTTTGATACACTAAAGCGGTTCTGATGTTTTGGGGTTTCTGGCCACATGCAGCTGACTATCAAGGTTATGAAATATTGCCTTGTATGACCACCCTGACATTGTACATACCAATTGTACTGTCATAGCCCAAGTCAACACATCTAGTGTACACACAAGCCATGATGTACAGATGTTTTATGACACATGAAATGATGCTCTAATAATATTTGTTTACAAAAATCCTAATTCTCCAATATCAAATTGGTTTCTTTGAAACAGATGGGTGGACGCATCTAACATGCCATACAGGTAAACTGTCGTTAGAATGAAACAATGAATGTCCAACCAAAATATTCAGGTTTTACTGTACATTACAGGTATGTTCTATTGACAATTTATTTCAAAATCATAAAAATAGATAATATATACAAGGGTAGATAGGCAAGCACCACATCAGATCAATCAATTCAAAGGCAACATATACTAGTTCCTCCATCACAGTCAACTCATGCTGGGCTACGACATATCATATAACTTGAAAAATCAAAAATTTAATTATTTATCTGAGGGTTTTACTTAAGGGTTATTTTGCATCAGAGCTATTCATATTTGCTTTACTATACTGTCCATAAAGATTGTTTCCTGGAAGCAATATCAATCAAGCTAGTGTAACATCCCAAGTAGTTCCAGTAAAATGAAATGTTCACAAAAAGTAGGAAGGACTTTTTAAAATAATTTTATTTCATGAAATATGTTAGTCTCCACTAAACCCAAACAAACATTTACAGCTGTAGTTATACAGAGAAACATGTTCATACAAATTTTGTTGTTTGAGGACAGAATATGAGTAATGCCATCAACCGGATCCCTCTTTTCAAGGTATCTTAATGTCACACTTTCTCTTGCACTAAAAACACTTTCCAGGTCAGATGACAGTTGATGATTCGAGTACCAGTATTTGTGATGACAATTCAAGTGGAGATTTGTTTTAGCATCACATTTCTTTATATCTGATACACTGGATTCACTAGGATATTTTCAGAAGCAATGTACGAGATTCCCACAACATACATGTAATGCACAGATATCAAAAGTTACTCAATTGACTCAAATGTCTAACTGAGATTAAGATTTGACTGAATCTCAGAATCAAATACAGTGCTCCAAAGCCAAACAGAACATTAATAAATAATGCATATTTGTTCTGTACATTGTTTCGATACATACCAACACACAAATCTGCAAACTATTCCAATAATGTCACAAGATTACAGCGATGCCAAGTGTGTAAGCACTCATAAAATAGGATACATATAAATACACATGTGAATATTAATACAAAAGCATGTTTAACCCTTTTTTGCAGCCTTCATTGTTAATAAAAATAATAATAATTAATTTATATAGTGCCTAGCATCCATCTGTCTAGTTGCTCGCTAGACGCTGAAATCTTAATCTGATTATTATTTACTGTGTGAGAAATGTTCCCTGATAACAAGGGGTCCACAATGACACAAGAAAATGTGCTATTTGAGTTGTCTTTACAGAGAAAATGTACACGAAATTCTGAAACAATGTTAAATACTGCCTAACAAACTAGAATTTGCTATTACATTTTTGTTTCCTCCCTTCTGTTGGATTGTTTTATTAATATCATATCAGGGAGCACAACATTTCAGGGGGGAAAAGCACCCACTTTTACCTTACACTGAGAAACAGTGTATATGGAGCAAATTAGTGGTAGCAACTCATAACCAGGTAGTGGCAGCCAAAAGCATTGTTCAAACAGTGATGTTAAACAACTGGGTCACAGTGTGAACAAATGCACCCAACTAGTAAACATAAGTAAACAATATCTATGAATTGTGAGGCATAATTAGGTCTCTATATCTCAAGGCCTAGCATTTCGGGAAACCTACGTTAACCCCTAATCCCATGGGTCTGCTACTAAGTCTCATGTACCAACTGAAATGACTTACAAACCAGCCTCATTGATTGTTTGTCTCATTGATTAGGATAGAATTCTTTAGCTATTCAATATTCAAAAACTGACTGAAATGCAAAAGAAAGCCCTAAAAATTCATTTGGTCGTTTGGTTTCTTGGTGATACAAGTTACCTCCCTTGCCCTTTCCCTTATGGCAATGTTTGGTTGCTCTGTAAATATGTAATGAAAATCAAAAGTGGGCAAATTGCAATCTTAAAAACCATGGGAATTGATCCCGAGGTTGGTGTAGGTTTACCTAAGTGTGAGCCCTGGCGTCCTGTGTTGTCCCTTTAACAGTGATCTCTACCCTACCCATGCATACAACACAACAGCGTATTCCCTACAATATTCATACAAGGGACAATTTTGTTTTCAATTCTCTCCACACCAATTTGTCAGTATTGATCTCAACCCAACTCTGCATTCAAATTTGCCAACAAAATATTCCAATAAGTTATCTCTGCATTTAAAAATTAAATAATTAGGTTATTTGGAGAATTTTTATCGGTACTTTTTTAACTAATGGATTTCAGAGTTGAAATACACAACAAGCACTCACATATGTCAAAGAATAGATGAGGTTTTGTTCTTTACAATGGTCATGCAGAAATGAAGCAGAAATATTCACAAACCATTTTCTCCCAGCATGGGATCTGTGCAGGTAAACACCCAAAAATGTTGTCAGAGCAAACAACCCATTCAGAAACAAACACTATTCATACATATTATCATAAGTATATGTTTGGTCCATATTTACTGATGTCTGTCACTTCCAAACTGCCACAACCAATTCCTTGATTATGAATACAGTAATGCTACCTCAGTGATCACTGCAGTCGTCCAGTGCAGATTTCACACACACAGACATAAGTACATTGTATAGCTGTAAAACCATATTTCTGTGACAGTAATTTCATAACTGGGGCTGGGCTCTCCTTACATTTGAATATATAACGGAATGATTTGGCTACTGCCTTTTCTCTTGTATGTACAGATGTGTAGAATAGATTATGCTTATTGCATCCAGTATAGCAGTTGTTGATATAAGACAATGTTTTGTTTCCTTAGGACTGTGTGTCTCATTTCCATTTTGTTATCTCTACTCGAACATTTCTAATGCACTGATGTCATATTTAGTATACATGCACTAATTCTTTCTCATCAAATCTATACTTTGTAGCATGAAACACACATTACTGCTACACTGAACATGAAAACAAGGTATTGGCTGTAGTGTAGAAATACACCACTGGCCTAGGAGTCTCCAGCGTGTTTAATTCACTGGGTGAGACACCTACCCAGTATGCAGGCAACAAACACAATCACGATAATATTGGTTATTTTACGGACTATAAGCAGGTATACCGATTACACCAATCGAACAGGGTAGGAATCTAGCCTACTGTACAAAATAAGCACACCTCATATCAGTTGTTCGAATTTGAACATGTCCTAAACTACATACCTTCATTAGAACAGGTTGTGTTACTGCAGGAAATACAGAAAATACCTGCTCTCTCAAAGGTTCCTGATTCATGAAGGATGGAACAACTTAAAACTGTAATCACCAAAAAAAGGTGATTTATATACAGAACAACATTAGAAACGCACCATCCATATAATTACCCTGTCAGACTGAAATGTACCCATGATATCTGAGCATCGTCGGTGCATTTTATTGTGGTGCGTTTCTAATGTTGTTTAGTATATTTTCATTTTGTAAGGTTTCTTTTCGATCTGAGTCTCTTGGATATTTAAGTGTCAGTCATGGCAAATCTGTGTAAATGGCCAAATATCATTTGCAATGTTGTTTTTAGCAACGATGAATCTCTCTTAGACCAAATTACTATACAGTCCCTGAAAGACCTTCCTCACCAAGTTGACTACATAATACACTAAATAACATATCATTAGTTGGTGTAAATGGCAGTAGATCCATAAAAATTTCATTTCATAAAATCAAAAAGCATTCAACAAAACATATACTGATCTTACAGAAACAGACATAAAAATTGTCATTACACAGATCAAGTACTTAAAGTTATATGTCAAATTAAAACATTAACAAGCAACAGTTCCCAAATTGTTTAAAATGGACACATACCAAAGAACATCATTTTAATGCAGTAAATATGTGAACAATATACAAGTGAGGATCACTGACATCCTCTGACTTCTTCTTGAAACTTGAAATCTAAGTATATTTGAAAACAAATGTCTGAGCTGTTTCATGCAGCAAAAAGTGACGAAAATGCATTAATACCAATAAAATAAATTCTTATTCCTATGATAATTAGAGAGTCTCAGAGATGAGGAATAGCACATTAGTTTTGCCTGACCACGTACACAGTACACATGGCTGTATTTACCAGAATCAGATATGTTCCTCTAATACATTGCCTTACTGCAGGGGGATCTGACAAGCCTCCATAGATAATTGTATCATGTAAACCATGACAGAACATTCACAAATCTAAACGAAGGATGTGTGTTAGAGAGGAAGTCAGATGTCAACAACTGATCTCTATCCATTTTTCATTCCCCAAAATGGGAAACCCACCCCAAACACACACTTCCTTTGATTGTACTCCCTGTTGGGTTAGATGCAATAGCAGTCAGAAACAAGAGGGTGTAGCAAATATCACCAATAGAATGGCGTTGTCCTTATCATTTACCTTCAGAACTGTATGTTCATTTTCGAGATACAGTGATAGGATAAGCTGCTCTGAAAGCTTCACTTGCTAAACTTAGAAGTCTGGACATTGTTCAGCTGATTAGAATGTCCACCTGACACGCTTTCTTCACATGCAGAGGTATCAAAGTAAATCAACTGATTGAGATTAGTCGAGACAATTTCAATAACCTCACAATCAGCTCGCTGTTATTCCTACGGTGACCTGGGCTACTACTCCAAAAGACGGAAACCCCAGCAAGTTTCCTCTTTACTAAAGGGATTTAAAGAAAATCTAATATCTTGTCCACAGCTATTTTCGTGTAGTCTCATAATGATGAATCAGCATGATTGAATAAACAAGTGTAAATGATTCAATGCTACTGTTGACAGTAATGAGAGGTAAATGTTAGTGTTTCCCCAGTTGGTTATCCCTGTCAATTGTTAAGACAGTTTATAAACACATCGACTATTGGTGGCCGGAACCCTGCTTGTCAGCTGTTTTTGAGGAGTATCATGATATGGCACAAGAGACAGAGTTCAAACATTGTCAATTATCCTAACTGTATGCATATTACAACCTCTGCACATTATTATTATGTCTTCTAGTCAGTAACCCAAGCTTGTCCTTTAACCTCTCAGACAACTGGATGTCTTCATGATTGGCAGAGCTAACTAGAGAGACATGCGGCAATCAGAAACCTTGGTAAACTAAGTAAGCAACAGAATTCTAGACCTGATTCCCAGCAGTCTTGATGACTAGATCTTGATTTCATTCCTAATTCAGGTTTATGTACACAATGGTTTTATAATGCAATTTCTAGTGTCTAAACATTTGTAACTAATTTTACAAGAATTCCAATAAATCATGTCAGAAAAACCCCAGCACACAATAACCTGAGAAACTAAGTTCCATGGAGTCTTCCAAACGCGAAGCGCTGTGAACACAAGTCTGACACAAGTCTCAAGAACACATTTACTTCTTGACACAAATCTGAGCTATGTCCACAGCTGTGTTTCCAGGCTTCAGTCATACTGTGTACTCTGTGTACTGTGAAGAGGCTAGTGAAAGACGGGGGCCAAGGGCAGGGAGGTTGCAGAGATCAGATTACACAGTAGCTACAGGAAGACGAGTTAGGATGGGGAGAACCTAGAGTCAGGCCCTGCTTGTCTGTTTCCCACAGACCTGGTGTCTGGATGATCTGCAACAGAGATTGATATCACAATGTTGTAACAGGCAGCGGTGTGATTGTGTATTAACATGTAGTGATATCACAATGTTGTAACAGGCAGCGGTGTGATTGTGTATTAACATGTAGTGATATCACAATGTTGTAACAGGCAGCGGTGTGATTGTACATTAACATGTAGTGATATCACAATGTTGTAACAGGCAGCAGTGTGATTGTGTATTAACATGTAGTGATATCACAATGTTGTAACAGGCAGCGGTGTGATTGTGTATTAACATGCAGTGATATCACAATGTTGTAACAGGCAGTGGTGTGATTGTGTATTAACATGTAGTGCTATGACAAATTGTACCAGTAACATGCAATGGTGTAATTATGTATCAAACAACAATGTGCATACACTGACCCACACTGTACACATACTGTGAGTCTGAACCTTGTGTGCATCAGTTTATACCATCACGTTCAGGAGATCCCTACCAAACCAAACATGCAGCCAAAATACCTACACTGTTCAAACACCGACACTAAACCTACACTAAACATGAAATACCATACCTTCTCCACAAGTTCTTCAAATGCACACTGTACCCCTTCTTTGGTTTTGGCACTTGCTTCAATGAACAGCATGTGGTGTTTGCGGGCAAACTTTAAGCCCTCCTCCTTGCTCACCTCCCTCCTCTCCTGATAAATGAGTCAACAATGAATGTGTAGACATGAGTAACCATCTGGATTCAGACACAAACAGTTACTTTCAGCTTATGGATTAAAGCTGGGTTGTTGACAAACTGTTCAACACTTTGAGCTAAGTATGAATGCTGGGGTTCAGACATGAACTGTTAGCTACTTTGAGCTCTGTATGAATGCTGGGGTTCAGACATGAACTGTTAGCTACTTTGAGCTCAGTATGAATGCTGGGGTTCAGACATGAACTGTTCAGACATCATGAATGAACTGTTAGCTACTTTGAGCTCTGTATGAATGCTTGGGTTCAGTTCACATGAACTGTTAGCTACTTTGAGCTCTGTATGAATGCTGGGGTTCAGACATGAACTGTTAGCTACTTTGAGCTCTGTATGAATGCTGGGGTTCAGGCATGAACTGTTAGCTACTTTGAGCTCTGTATGAATGCTGGGGTTCAGGCATGAACTGTTAGCTACTTTGAGCTCTGTATGAATGCTGGGGTTCAGTTAGCTACTTTGAGCTGTATGAATGCTGGGGTTCAGGCATGAACTGTTAATGCTCAGGGGTTCAGGCATGAACTGTTAGCTACTTTGAGCTCTGTATGAATGCTGGGGTTCAGGCATGAGCTCTGTATGAACTGTTAGTTCAGGCATACTTTGAGCTCTGTATGAATGCTGGGGTTCAGGCATGAACTGTTAGCTACTTTGAGCTCTGTATGAATGCTGGGGTTCAGGCATGAACTGTTAGCTACTTTGAGCTCAGTATGAATGCTGGGGTTCAAGCATGAACTGTTAGCTACTTTGAGCTCTGTATGAATGCTGGGGTTCAGACATGAACTGTTAGCTACTTTGAGCTCTGTATGAATGCTGGGGTTCAGACATGAACTGACAGTTACTTGAGCTTATTGTGAATGCTTCGGTTTGGATATGAACTGTTAGCTACTTGAGCTCATTGTGAATATTGGGGTTATGGCAGAAGCCATCAATTACTCTCACCTTGTCAATCTTGTTCCCTACCAGCATCTTGACCATATCATGCTTTGTTGCGAAGGTCTCCAGTTCATTCAGCCATGCATCCAGCCGGCTAAAGGACTGTTTGCTACAGACATCATATACTACAAAGAGATTAATGCCAGTTAACTCAGTGTCAGTTTGCAGTCTTATTAATTAATCACAGATTACTTGCTTATTCAAGCAGTTGATTGTCCTTAACATAGGGAGGTAATTCATCGTGGCAGTGTCTATGGTAACAGATAAAATTTGTCTAATCCGGACTGCTTTACAATCCGGACAAATCAGTCGGTCCCAGGCCAGTCTGTAATAGACAGACTCCACTGCAGTTCACGTTTTTAAAAATACAATATGTTAACAATGCTGTTTCAAGTGCTCCTGGCTTCCCTAGGATGTTATCAACTCTAGAATCAAACCTAAACAAAATATGACAAGCCCTTTGAGATAACACAAGCCATTTCAGATATAGAAAAATGAATGATCTTGCATGTGACAAGAACAAGCAAATACATTTTACTTCAAAATGTTTAACAACACCCAATTCATTACCCATAGTAATGTGAAAGAAAGTTAGAAACACCCGAATCTTTAAAGGTCACATGCAACCAAAAAAATCAACATAATTAAAACACAATTATCACTTATTCATGACATATATTATACATTGCTGGTTATGAAAAAACATATAAACAAAATTATAAGCGTACAATCGCAAATCAAAAGTGCAATTGTTTGTACTTGGGTTTACTTCCCAAGAAACAAAGCAGCCGGGATACCGAACCCAGTCAGAGCGGGTGGGTGTGCACTCAAGTGTATTGGCTGGTTCATTTGCAGAAGCCCTCACGTCTCATTGTGTGTGTATATATAGAGATGTTGGGTTTTGTAAATACATGCTCATTTTTTTGTGTATAACATTTTGCAATTAACAGACATCATAACATGTCATGTGTACAAGTATCACACCTGCCTGTCTGTGTAATTACATAATGTGACAGAGACCGAACTCGGGCCATAAATCAATGCATTTTGTTTATGGTGTATAGCCTGATAGGTGTTAAGTTCAAATTGCATGTGGTCAGTGATCGAAGTTGTGTACATGTATTGAATATTGTCATTAGCAGACGGGAAGGCAGATACATAGGTGTCAATAAAACAGACATTGACATGTCTATATCACAGTTAAAAATTCTGTCAACGCTAAATAATGTCATGCTTTCAAGCATTGAACTGAGAAAGTGACTCGGTAAGAAGAATGTGTGGTGAAATAGACAAATGAAATTATATAAACTGTTAAATCAGTAATCTACTGTAATAACATATAAAAAGCTCGCGCCTGTGAAATATCAACAAAACATAGCTCACACCAAAGCCTTCACCGAGTATTCACCGGACAACCCGCTTCCAAGCTGCATGAACCTATTTCACTGCGCATGTGCTATGAAACCACTTCAATTCCCCCAAGCGCTGGGGGGAAAATTAGTGAATCGTTTGAACTTTATAAGTTGAAATTGCATTTTCGGTCCATACCGAAAGGAATCGGAATCTGCAAAGTTGCGTTTTACGTTGCATGCGACCTTTAACATTAAATGAGAAGTTATGGTAATAAAAACGAATGAGGTGTTCTTGAACTTTTAAGCCTAATACATCATGAAATATCACTATACTGATAAGCAAAGAAAAGAAAAGCAAATCCTTTCATTTCTTACAGATTTGATGTGTTGTAAATTCACAAATTCTGATACAAATGTGTAAGTATTGATAAAACAGAAAACATGCTTTTGCACAGAACCATACAAGCTAAATGTTGACCAACAAAGATCCAATTTGCTTTAATAGGAATAACAAGAATCTGAAATCATAAAGCTAAAAATGTAATTTACAGGCAATTCAAACATCAAAGGCACAATTTCACACAATTTTGACAATATTTTGGCCTATATTATATATATTGGGTTATATGCTCTCACTTGCCTGATATCAATAATTGAAACTTCAATGCGAACAACTTCCAAACAGAGAACACTTGCCATATATGGAATGTAAACAATTACTCCGTACATCAAAAAACTGTTGCATGTGGTGTTGTCGGTGTTTGCCGAACTGGTTTCAATCACAAGTTGCGTGTAGGGTTATGGGTCCATGGGTTACGCTTTCGTCAAACTTTTTTCCAGGGGTAAGAAAACAACATCGTGAACAAACAACAGAAGACGACTTTGTCAGTAGAGACGTCAAATTTGCAATTAAACATCACTAGACAAGATTATTTACCTTTTAAGTTATAAGTTGTTTTTGCTGGGCATTGTATTATTTGCAGGGATTAAGATTACCGTGTGTATCCGAGCTGGAAATAGCAATCAGCTGTGCACACATTTCCCGGCGAACAAGTTCAAACATGCACAATAATATAACGGGACGAATTCTGATGCAGTCATCAGTAAAATATAATACAGAATACCATTATTTAACCCAAAGAAATAAATCCTAGCATTATGGAATTTTAGTTACAGTTTTTGCTCTATAAATTAATTAAGATTACCGTGTGTATTTGAGCCGGAAATAGCAATCAGCTGTGCACACGTTTCCCGGCGAACAAGTTCAAACATGCACAATAATATAACGGGATGAATTCTGACGCAGTCATCAGTAAAATATAATACAGAATACTATTATTTAACCCAAAGAAATATATCCTAGCATTGTGTAATTTTATTTACAGTTATCATGTAAAATATATAGCAAAATATATTATGCATTTTCTGTCAACTACACTTCGTTTCGATCCGTGAGTAGACACAATATATATGACAGTGAATTCTTTGAATAATGTGGACCAAAGTTATAATTATTGGTAACTGCCAGTTGTCTGTGGTCTGTGTTTGCCGCGATTAGGACCCCATCGCTGGGGATCGACTTATGCACGAAACACACCATTTTGACACTGATTTTAAGGGTCAAGTTTGGGGGTCGTCTTATCCATGGGGTCTTCTTATAGACGGTCATATACGGTAGTGCCTTTAAACAGACCCGTAACCCAACAAACCATTGATGAGAGAGACGACATACAAGCTATGTGTACACTTATTATGCTAATATGATCAAGCTTTGGCCTGATAACATGCATTTGATGCCAATTTGATGCCTTTCACTTGTGAACAGTTGAAAGTTCTATGTATGACATCTCACAACGAGCCATTTCACAAACTGCACTACTACTGCCAGTGTCAGTGCTGCTGCTGCTGCTGCTGCTGCTGCTGCTACTGTAGCTGTACCCACCTAGTATAACTCCCTGAGCGCCCCTGTAGTAGCTGGGAGTCAGGGTCCGGAACCTCTCCTGGCCTGCTGTATCCTGACAAACATACAAGACAAACCAGGGGTTCAATTTTTTTTAAAAAGCCACTTGCCACAGGGCAGGTGACATTAAGCAAGTAACTTGTCCTGACTAATTTTCCACTTGCCCTGATTTTATGACATAATTATGATGATGTAATTATGAAAGAAGAAATCAACATGGTACTTGATGTTAATGTTTACTAGACTATTTATTGAAAAGTGATAAATAGCAAAGAAAGATAAGTCTACTTTATTATCATTGCGAAATTTAATAGCTACATTTTGAGCAGATATGAAATTAAATCCAAGTTTATTTGCAGTTTGAAACCATAAGTGGAAATTATCTAGAAGCCCACGGACAAGTAAGATACCATTATCTGATTGCACGAAATGAAAACTGACTTGTCCCGGGTGTCGGGCGATGGGATTTTTGAATCCCTGCAAACATGGCTAGATGTGCAACATTAAAAAGATGAACCAAACCAGAACCACTGTAAATCCTACACAGCTGTGTGACATACACGGGGCACCAATGTTTCCTGTTGACAACAGCACAGATACTGACAAGGTACATATTACAATACATCATCCTACAAACTCAGCCTTTGATGTGATATGAATGAATAAATTAGTTCTTGAGACTAGAGCAGAAAGTCATATTCTTAATTATTATACTTTTTTACATGTAGCCCAAAATGAATCATTATGAATCCTTGTGAACATGGCCTGATACAATCAAACCTTCACTACACAACTTCAAACTGATGTCAGACCTATATAGCGTTTCACCCTGGAAATCCTGAAGAAACCATGTGTACCGAGGACCTACCCTGGCTGCAAATCCTCAACATAGCAAGTGTACGAGGACCTACCTTGCCTGGAAATCCACAAGATAGTATGTGTACTGAGGACCTACATTGCCTGGAAATACCCATTACAAGCAAGTGTACGAGGACCTACCTTGCCTGGAAATCCACAAGATAGTATGTGTACTGAGGACCTACATTGCCTGGAAATCCCCATTACAAGCAAGTGTACGAGGACCTACCTTGCCTGGAAATCCACAAGATAGTATGTGTACTGAGGACCTACATTGCCTGGAAATCCCCATTACAAGCAAGTGTACGAGGACCTACCTTGCCTGGAAATCCTCAAGATAGTATGTGTACTGAGGACCTACCCTGCCTGCAAATCCCCATTACAAGCAAGTGTACGAGGACCTACCTTGCCTGGAAATCCACAAGATAGTATGTGTACTGAGGACCTACACTGCCTGGAAATACCCATTACAAGCAAGTGTACGAGGACCTACCTTGCCTGGAAATCCACAAGATAGTATGTGTACTGAGGACCTACATTGCCTGGAAATCCCCATTACAAGCAAGTGTACGAGGACCTACCTTGCCTGGAAATCCTCAAGATAGTATGTGTACTGAGGACCTACACTGCCTGGAAATCCCCATTACAAGCAAGTGTACGAGGACCTACCTTGCCTGGAAATCCTCAAGATAGTATGTGTACTGAGGACCTACACTGCCTGGAAATCCCCATTACAAGCAAGTGTACGAGGACCTACCTTGCCTGGAAATCCTCAAGATAGTATGTGTACTGAGGACCTACATTGCCTGGAAATACCCATTACAAGCAAGTGTACGAGGACCTACCTTGCCTGGAAATCCACAAGATAGTATGTGTACTCAGGACCTACACTGCCTGGAAATACCCATTACAAGCAAGTGTACGAGGACCTACCTTGCCTGGAAATCCTCAAGATAGTATGTGTACTGAGGACCTACACTGCCTGGAAATACCCATTACAAGCAAGTGTACGAGGACCTACCTTGCCTGGAAATCCACAAGATAGCATGTGTACTGAGGACCTAGTCTGCCCTGGAAATCCCCATTACAACCTACCTTGCCTGGAAATCCACAAGTGTACTGAGGACCTACCTTGCCTGGAAATCCTCAAGATAGTATGTGTACAGAGGACCTAGTCTGCCCTGGAAATCCCCATTACAAGCAAGTGTACGAGGACCTACCTTGCCTGGAAATCCTCAAGATAGTATGTGTACTGAGGACCTACATTGCCTGGAAATCCCTATTACAAGCAAGTGTACGAGGACCTACATTGCCTGGAAATCCACAAGATAGTTTGTGTACTGAGGACCTACATTGCCTGGAAATCCCCATTACAAGCAAGTGTACGAGGACCTACCTTGCCTGGAAATCCTCAAGATAGCATTTGTACTGAGGACCTACATTGCCTGGAAATCCCCATTACAAGCAAGCGTACGAGGACCTACCTTGCCTGGAAATCCTCAAGATAGTACGTCTACTGAGGACCTACCCTGCCCTGGAAATCCCCATTACAAGCAAGTGTACCGAGGACCTATTTTCCCCAAAAGACAACAACAAAAGTAATGCCCTCTCCTTTGTGGAAATCTACAGGATAAGAAACACAAATCAACTATTACTCACCCATATTGCCAACTTTGTCCTGTTTCCATCAACTGTGAGGGTCTTCACCTTGAAATCCACACCTTCCGAAGATACAAAATATAGAAGACATCAATTCTGAATAATCTGTGTTTATTGTTGCATTCCAGCACATGAAGCATATTCCTGCTATATGAAGCTGCAAATAATGAAGTGTGGCCCAGAACAATCTATTGACTGGCAATGAGAACAGTGAGCAGCAATCAAAAGATCAACTAAGTCACTTGTAATTGTGTATGAGTGAGTGAATGAGTTTAATTTTAAGCCGCACTCAGCAATATTCCATCTATATGGCGGTGGTCTCTAAATAATCGTGTCTGGACCAGACAATCCAGTGATCAACAGCATGAGCATTGATCTGCGCCATTGGGAACCGATAACGTGTCAACCAAGTCAGTGAGCCTGACCACCCAATCCCGTTAGTCGCCTCTTACGACAAGCATGGGTTACTGAAGGTTCATTTTAACCCGGACCTTCACGGGTCAATTGTGTATGAACAGGAAAAAATAGGGACAGTCAACTCATGAAACCATATTACAGACCCGACCACTAGATTCAACTCTGATAATTCTACATGAAGACCTTGCAAACACACAGGCAAAGTCTCTATGCCTTAGATGTGGGAAAATGATCATTGAAATATACTTGAAGGATCAAAACTGACTCCGCTATATTGTTGGAAAAACTAAGCCCGTGGCAGAGGGAAATTGGGGAGGGTTGACAGGCCCGACCCTATTTCCCGAGGCCAAGGGCTTACTTTTTCAATCAAAGCTGAAAAGGAGGTTTTAATGCAACTTATGAACCTGACCGATGATATACTTTAGACATAATTATGTAATTTTTTGAGTAAAATTGATATTTTATACTTATCCTGACTCATGCTCTTTTGCTTGTCTTCTTCTTCTTGAGAACATAGTGGAACACTTGTATCTCCTTAATTGAAGCTCCCTTCAATGTAAAATCACTAATTGGTACTCACCACGAGTTGCCTCCCTTGCCCCTTTTGGCGGGAACAGGTGTCGCCACCCTCTGGCCTCATGCTTCACTCTCTCCTGATTTTGCGAGCCCAACACTTGAATTTACAGGGAAATCCAAAGTGTTATGTGGGGAGGATGGGAGGGCTAACCTCATGAGTCAGGATAAGTATAAAATATCAATTTTACTCAAAAAATTACATATTTTTCCTTATCCTGACTCATGCTCTTTTGCTTGTAGAATCCTACTGAGGAAGCGGAGGTGGGCAAAACAGAATACTTTGGATTTATAGAATTAGTGATTTATATAGATATAACTGTAATAACCCCTACGGGAACTTCATAAAGGCATAGACTTAGGATAATTCCTCTATTATAAGCCATAGGTTATAATGCCATACTGGGGTATTTACATTAATAATATACTGAGATATTATAAACAACAATATCAAAGCGACTCTGATAGAGAAGCTATACCACTGAACATATATACATACTGCTAGAACTCCGTAGAGTTATAAGCTAGATAATGCATGTAACAATTATGCATATTAATCTCGTAAGACTCACGTGTTAGCGTTCTGAGGGACTGTCAACTGCTGTCGCGAGGACCAAGGGACCGAAATGGTGAATGCCTGAGACGTCCTCGGTGGTGATATCTCTCAGGTAGTGATTAGCAAACACCATGTTAGATTTCCAAAAGCATCCTTCCATAATTGTATTCAATGAACAGTTACCGTGTAAGGCGAGAGTGGAAGCTAAGCCCTGATCTCATGGGGATTTGATGCTGTTGGAGGGTCCAGTCCTGCTGCCTTGTAGGCTGAGAAGTATGACAGTTCTTATCCATATAGATATGGTGGTGCGAGAGACTTCTGTCTGAGTTGTTGCCGACAAGGGAATGAATAATCGTTTGAGAAATCTTAAGCCTTGTTTTGGAGCGTCGTAAATAGATTTTGAGAGCTCTGACTGGGCATAAAGATAAGTCCAGTGTATCTTGAGATCCGAGAATGGAGGATAATGCAGGGATATGAAATAACCTGTCTGGTTGACCTGGTAGTTGATTTTTGGCGATGAAATCCCATCTTAATCCCAGGTGTGCTGTGTTTTGATTGTCATCAAACTGTATCCTCTCATAATCTAGTGCGTGAATTTCCGACATCCTGGCTGCTGTGGCTAGAGATAACAGGAAAAGTGTTTTCTGTGAGAGAAATTCAAAGTTTGTCGATTCCAACGGTTCATAAGCCTCACTTGTGAGGTGTTGTAACACTATATTCAGATCCCAAGCTGGAAGTGGAACTTCCGCTTTTGGTCCTCAATGGGAAAGCCCGTAGTAAGGCCAGTAACTCTGGAGTTCTTGTCAATCTAACACCCGTTCTCATGGTAATGACAGAACTAAGAGCGGCAAGATATGTTGACAATGTCGAGCCTTTTAAATGTTTGTTTTGCCGTAAGTAACACAAATAATCTGCCACTTGTGGATGAGTAGCATCTCTTGCTGTAAATCCCTTATTTGCTGCGTAATTCTCAAAACTGTGCCACTTGTCGCCGTACAAGTTCACGTGTAGAATAAGCGTAAGGCAAAGCGTGACGCTTTTGCAGCCCTGGTAGAATACCCTCTCTTGTTTAAACACATTTTAATACAGTCCATCGTGAAGTTGGAATACTTCTGGGCTTCCGTGCACCTGTTTGGTGTGTGGATGTATTAATAGATTTGGCTTTGGGTAGCTCTAGTGTTGGTTGACCGATATCTTGAATTAGAATGGGAAACCACGTTCTGGCCGACCAGTAGAAGCTGACCAAAGTGAGTTGGAGGCTCTGTGTTTGTCTGATTTTCTGTAACACTTGAGGTATTATTGCTGGCTGGCGCGAAAACGCTGCACGCATTGAGGCCTTCCCAGGATATGCTTAAGCGTCCGTTGCCCATCCTTGTGGGTCTGGGACTGGTGACACGAATGTCGGTAGCTGATTGTTGAAGCGTGTTGCGAATAGATCTACTAGCTGGCTCCTATTTGCTTGATTATCTGTGCAAATATTTCTGTATTGAGCATCCATTCTGTCGGTGAAGGTTGATGTGGCCGAGAGAGTGCGTCTGCTAGTACATTCTTGGCTCCGGGAATGTGACATGCTCTGACATGTAGGTTTAGATCGTGTATTAGATCGAACAGTTGAAAGCTTAAAGTCAATAGGTTCAGTGATCTTGTTGAACCTTGTTTGTTCACATAGAACGCCACTGTCGAGTTGTCGGTATGAATCATTAAGTGCGCATTCTGTAGAATGTTGCTCCATTGAAGTATGGCGTTGATTACAGCTTTCATCTCTAACATGTTTATATGGAGCTTGCTTTCTTGCGTAACTGTAATCTGCCTGAGACTGTCATGTCTTGGGCTGATGTGAGGAGACCCAACACGCTCTGCCATTGTCGTAGTGGTAACGGAGAGAGAAGAGCTGACGGAATGGTCTGTTGGATCTTGAGCCAACGGTCTTCTGGTACGACGATACGGTTGTGATTCGTGATAAATCGAATGCCTAGGAACTGCAGATCTTGCGATGGTACTAGGTCCGACTTGAGTAAGTTTACTAACCATCCTAGCTGTGTTAGTAGCTTTATGATGTAGTTTAACTGTAGTTTGAGATGCTGTGGATCTTGATCTACTTGTATCCCGTCGTCGAGGTAGAACGCACTGCGTAGCCCTAGACGATGTAGATAGGTGACAATAGGTTTCGTTATCCTCGTGAATAGCCAGGGGGCTGATGATATGCCGAATGGGAGAACTTTCCATTGGTAATGTAGCCCGTCTAGTGTAAATCTTAGATATTTCCTGGATTCGGGATGTATCGGGATATGTAGATATGCGTCTTGCAGATCTATACTGGCCATGTAATCCATGGGGCGAATCAACTGCCGTAACTGAGGAAGGTGTATCATGCGAAACTTTGGTGGTTTTCGCGAGATAATTCCTGTTGAAAAAGCTCATGTTGTAAATGAGTCTGTATTTCTCCTTGGAGTTTTTCTTGGGTACTAGGAAAACTGGGGAGTAGAAGCCTGGTTCGATGTTTACTTGATCTAGTACTTCTATGGCCTGCTTGGTTATGAGTGATGTAACTGCCTCTCTTAACTTTGGTAGTTGTTGTGCCTGTAAGTCGAACTTGTAAGGGTTGACTGTCAGCGGAGGCGTGGCCTGTAGTGGGATACGAAATCCGTGTTGAAGAATGTTGGAGACATAAGGGTCTTTTAACATTCCCCAGTTCTCCCAGTGTAGTTGGAGGCGTCCACCCACTTGTGACGGTTGTACTGGAACGGCTGGGGGTGGAAGACTCCAGTCGTTCCGAACCTGTCTTTCAGCGTTTATAGTTGCGGGAACCTCTGGGTGTCCTGCCTCTTCCTGACCCTCCTCTATAGTTGCCATATGGGCGTGAAAAGAATCTTTTCCCTGGCTGGCTATCTTCCTATCCCGTGCTTTCTGTAGTCGAGAACTTAGATCTCCCTGAGTATCTTTGTGAAGTCTGCCTGATGACGCTGGCTAAGCGTGTCCATCGACTTGATCATAAGGACTTCTCTGGAGTCCTTAGTGACTTCCTTGGAGACTTTGTCTATTCCTCCGTCAAAGATGTTTGGGGATGACCACGGGGCTGTATAGAGTGGAGCTGTAAAGTTCTCACCCCAGCTGCAGGAAGCGAGGAGGCCTTGACGACGAGCTAAGGTCAGTGCTGCTGAGACAGATGTGAGATGATCTGTAAGGAACTGCTGGTCCTTCTTTTGCATCAGTAGGGCGAGTAGATCATCCTATCATCTTCAGAGAGGTATATTACGAAATCTGGTGATAAGTGTCTCATTGATCGTTCTAGATCTATTTAGGCCAAAAACATGCGTCTCGTCATGTTTTCTATCTGCACCAGCTTGCGATCGTCAATCTTGTAGTTCTTGTTCTTAACATCGCTGATCAGCTTGTAGTTTTCATCGATGTCTTGTGCCTTCAGGAAGGGTCCATGTTGTGCGTGGAGAACTTCTTAAGCGTGAAAGTTCGGCAGATGTGGTGTCTGCACTTTCGTAGCTTTAATGAAGGCTGTATCTAGATTATGTGGCACCGCAGCAATCGGGTCGATCGGAGGTAAGGTGATGGCGTCTGCATCGTCTTCCTTCATCAGGTATGTCTGCGCTGAGTTGCCACTCTTGGACGGTGAAGATAAATCTAGGTTGTTTACCATCCAATATCTTATCTCGGCGTCTGAGAAGATGATGCCTCCATCATCTTCTGTACCAGCATCGGAGATGAGAGGTTGATGCTCTTCTGATGGTGACCTGTGGGCTGCTATCTCTATGTCGGGTGACACTCGGGGAGACCTGAGTGTAGACCTGTGTGCCGACTTGTGTGATGACCTGCGAGGTGATGTACGTGGAGATCTGCGTGGAGATCGGCGTGGAGATCGTCTAGGTGATCTGCGTCTATGGGAAGACCTAGATCTGCGAGGAGAATGTTGACGGCTTCGTGAAGCTCTTGAATAGTCCCTCGACGTCCTTCTGGACGATGACGATCTGTGTGACGGCCTTCGTGCAGCTTCCTCTGCAGGCCCGGACCTGGGGAGCGGCGCCTTGACTTCCGTGACGGTTTCCGTGACGTCTGGTGGTCTGAGTCTGCATCTGAGGATGAGGCCGAGGACGATGACGATCTCTCCCGTCTTTGCGAAGGCCTTCGCGAAGACTGTACATCGTCCTTCGCCGAGGTGGTCTGTGACTTCCTTTCGAAGGCTGCTTCGTCGTGGCTGCTACGCTGACTGGGGGTGCCTCTGGGGGTATCGTCTGCGTTGCTCGGGCCCTGGGCTGGCTGCTTCCCCGACTGTAGTGGCCCTCCATCATGGTCATGATCTGCCGCAACAGCTTCGTCTGGGATGGTCTGCGGCGGCGAAGTAGTCGGTGCCCTCTCTCGCGATGACAGCTGCTGACCCCTCAGGGAAGTCGTCTGACATCAGTGTAGAGGCATCAGGCTGCATGGCGATCTCTGCTGATGTCACTGTAGCTGTCACCGGTCGCTTCTTGTGGCGTCGTCAGGGATGATGATCGGCTGATCATCGTAGAGGCCCAGTTCGGCGGCTGGAGCGATCTCGGCTGAGAAAGTTCTTGGCGACTTCGTAGCCTTCCCATTGGATGTCGGCGCTGCCCTGGGGGTCGAAGTCTGCGTTGGGAAGGCGTCGTGGCCCTCTTGGACTTTATCTGCGATGGCGGGGCGTCTGGGGAGGCAGGGCGCTTCTTAGAGGTGGCGGACTGCATCCCACGCCCATCTTCGGCGGAGTCTCTTGCGAAACACCAGGCGGGAGGGTCTATCGACAGCAGCTGACTGGAAGGGGAATCCGATGTATCGGCCATGTCTAACCCTTGTTTGCGTGACCTATCTGCGGTGCGTCTCACGGCGCAAAGATATTTATGAAAAGCAGAATTGGATAGATTAATGCAGTAACTGCAGCGTGTATCAAAGCGCACAAAGTAGCACAACTAGGGCATAATACATGCGGGTCAGCAATCGAAAAGCGTAAATTGCAAATAGTACAGATTTTCATCAAGCGTAAATACTAGCTGAACAATCACGAACTCACGTGAATAAACAGTAGAAATACGATTAAATATCAATGCAAATTAATGAAGGATACTAGCTATACCTCTATAGTAACCTATAAGAGGTAATAAACTAAGAAAAACCAAAGGATATAGTGTGTAAGGAGACACAGGCGCTCTCACATCCTGCTCACTGGGCGAAGAAGGAGAGAGTGAAGCATGAGGCCAGAGGGTGGCGACACCTGTTCCCGCCAAAAGGGGCAAGGGAGGCAACTCGTGGTGAGTACCAATTAGTGATTTTACATTGAAGGGAGCTTCAATTAAGGAGATACAAGTGTTCCACTATGTTCGCAAGAAGAAGAAGACAAGCAAAAGAGCATGAGTCAGGATAAGGAAACATTTAATATTTGGTATTTACTGTTGAAATCAACTGGTATGCGACTGGCAGCTGATACCTTGTCTTGCACACGCAATACACGTGCTCTGCACACGCTAACTGTGTCCTGCATGTTCACTGCCTGAACTACCCATCTTGTGAGGGACACATGGTTCAAACTGACAAACAATCTCATCTTTCACAACAATCCTTCATAGCCTAGTGGATAAAACCACCAAGCCAGTAAGCGAAGGGTTGCAGGTTTTACTGGGTAAAAGAAGAAGCTGGTGAAACAATAGAGTGCCGTCACTGGAGGTTTATAAATATGAATCATGAAAACTAGGTTAAGACATGTCAAAGGCAATAGACCTGCTCACAAATGACCCGACCTATGAGTTTTCTATCGTAACAAGAAGAGCTTTCAGGTTATCAAATATACAAATATTAAATGAGTGAGTGAGTAAATTTAGTTTTATGCCTCTCTCCACAATGTTCCAGCTATATCATGTATGTGGCAGCAGTTTATAGATAATCGAACCTGAACCAGACAATCCAGTGATCAATATCAACTGGATCTATGCAACTGGAAATATTAAATGAAACATATGTACTAGGGAGATTACGATTTATGAAATATCAGCGCCTTGAGCATGCACTAGTGTGTGGGTATCTGCGCTATATAAATATCCAATAATAATAATAATAATAATAATAATACTCACATCTGGCTAATCAAACCATACTCAATTTGTTATCTGCGGTAATATTAATGAATTTTTTTACATTAATCTGGGTGTCATTTAAGAAAGAGCAATATGCAAAATGGAAAAAGTCCAAGGTATGATAATAGTCACAGAGGTACAGATAACTTTTTTGACCATTGGGTTATGTACTCGCTTTGTTCATCTCAATTGGGTATCCTAATTTTCCTTTGAGTAACCAAACATATTGTACTCACCTCACTGAAACTCATTTGGGTATTTTGCCATTTTCCATTAATTTTAAAAATATATTGAAGCTTAAATGTTAGTGTTTGTTATTTAAATTTGATCTGTAATATGAGAAACAATAAGAAAGACTGCAAGGTGCCAAGTTTATGTCCTGATATAGAACCCCCAATATACTGCAGCTATTTATCTATCCACCTGTACACAAGCTAAGGTTTGACACTTTTGTGTGTACGCGTGTAAGATCACATTTATTGAGTATTTACAAAACTTCAAGCGTACCTGTACGCAATAGACTTAATAGGAATTGAGTTTTCACATAAATATTTGCGTAATTTATGCAGATACGCAGCTTATCTGTACCTCTGTAGTCAACACTCTTATAATAATTCATTTGACCGTAATGTTGCTGATGGTTATTGTCGTGAACAATTGACACACTGCAGTCCTATCAGGTATATATACCATATACACACACAGGACTAAGAGTGTGTGTGCGTTTTTGGTTTCCATGCCAGCACAAAAACATGACTTTAACCATGTACATTCATCATGTTCATCAAAACAAGCAACACTCTGGTCCAGTGAAGAAAGAATTACCTCTCCGTGACCTAAACATGACCCACAGCTCACTATGATGACAACTCCTTGAATTCTACTCTCTATTAATTGTGTGCTACATTAAAGTCATAGCAAAGGTGATGCCTGCACAAAAGAGGCTGTAAATTGTTAAATGCTTGACTGCACATGTTCACAAATGTGGCCATATTTGATGATAAAATAATTTTAAAGGAAATATATACTTCTGACATATGTAATCAGTTTAATGATTATGTGATCACACAAAATTCACACATACAAACATCATACATAATGATAATACTATTGCAGTAGTTATTTTTCTCCTTGAATCTGTCTCATTTGAAGCCATTTCCCAAATGAATGTATAGTTTATATGAAATAAAAACAAGCTGAAGTAGTTTCAGTCTCTTGAAACTTGAAACGCAGATCAAGTAAGCAGCTGAAACATAAATTTACTGTTATTCACAATTTCAAACTCTGAGTTGTAAGCTGTGTTTGCCGCCATGTTGATGAAGAGGTAACCGGAGCAGATAACTCTTAATCAAAGTGAACGAATCTCGTACTTCCTGTATTTTTGTGCTGTGCATTTATCAAGGAAGAAGTCATACTAAACTATCGATAGTCACACATACTATCAATGCATCAATAGTTTTTCGTTTCTACCATCGATTAATTGCTGTCTGAGACTCAACAATTGCGATCTATTGATAGTTCGAAGAATCATTACAGCACTAATGTCCACACCTACCAATTGTGGCTGCCTGTTCAGGGTCAAAGGTGTCATCTGTGAAACGCAGCAGCAGACTGCAAGAAAGATACAGACATCATCTAACTGCTGATTAAAATATCAGAAAAAAAATTGAGATATTGACTTGCATTCCACTAACAATTTTCAGTTATATCAGGGCTGAGAGTGATGTAGGTGTTCAACATTTTAACACTTTGCTAACAAGCACTAGTAAGAACTGTGTGCCCTCCAGTATAAAAAATGTAATTTTTCAAGTAAAATTGATATTTTAATACTTATCCTGACTCATGATCTTTTGCTTATCTCCCTTTCCTTTTCGAATGGTAGTGGAACACTTGAATCCCTTGAACTTCCCGAAAGCGTAAGACGTAAAAATACACTCACCAACGAGTTACCTCCCTTTTGCCATGCAAACAGTCATGTGACCAGCCTTACTTGTCACTCTCTCCTGATTATCTGCCCATGCACTTGGATCTGCTGTGAAATCCAAAGTGTCCCAGCGGGGAGGCTGGGAGGGCTGCTCGTCATGAGTCAGGATAAGTATAAAAATATCAATTTTACTTGAAAAATTACATACTTTTTCTTATCCTGACTCATGATCTTTTGCTTATAGAATCTGACGGATTGGTGGTGGGTCAAGCAACTCCGTCGATTCATCAGCTGTCCTTAGATACGTCCTGTATCCCCCCCCATGGGAACTGCCAAACGGCATTTCCGTGATCCTATTCTTCCAACTTCAGTTATAACTCGTGGGGGGGACAATTTCTTGTCTTACTTCAGTTTCAGACAAGTTGAATCATGTTGATTCATGTGGCTACAGATAAACTAGTATCTTCTTATTACTATATATCTCATAACAACCCATAGATTATGATAAGATCTTTATCATAAATGAGTTGCGACCCCTTCACGTACAGGTAAGATCTTTTGACTAGGACCCCTCTGACTTCATGTGGGTTGGAAGCTCTAGGAGGTTCTGGTCCTGCTGCTTTATAGGCTCTCAATATGACGACTCTCATCCAGAACAATATGGTCGTTCTTGAGACTTCTGCTGATGTCTCTGTTGATAATGGGATGAACAGGCGCTTGAATTTTTGTCTCCTTTTCTCAGTCTTTTGAAGATATATCTTCAGGGCTCTGACCGGAACACGGGTAGGTCTTCTACATCCTCTGGGCCGAGGATTGTGGATAGCGCTGGTACGTGGAACTGTCTATCTGGCTGACCAGGTAGTTGGTTCTTGGCAATGAAGTCCCATCTAAGTCCTAGATGAACTGCAGCATGTTGCCCCATGTCGAATCTGGTTCGACCAAAGTCCAGCGCAAGTATCTCCGATATTCGAGCTGCCGTGGCTAGAGCAAGCAGGAACAGAGTCTTCTGTGTCAGCAGCTCGAGGGTAGTCTGGTCTAGAGGTTCGTAGGCATCACTCGTAAGATGATGTAGAATTACATTCAGATCCCAGGCCAGAACTCTGAACTTCTTTTGCTGGTCCTCCAGTTTAAAAGATCTCAGCAGAGCAAGTAATTCGGGTACTTTCGTCAACTTGATGCCTCTTTTCATGATAATCACTGTACTGATGGCGGCGAGGTATGTAGATAATGTCGAACCTTTCAGATGTCTAGTCTGTCTAAGATGACACAGATATTCCGCCACTTGAGGATGAGTAGCTTTCATCACAGTGAAGCCTTTCCGCCTTGCATAAGTCTCAAACTTCAGCCATTTGTCATCATACAGGTTACGAGTAGATCTGCGTAACGCTAGCGTTACTGCCTTGGCGGAGTATCCTCTTTTCTTCAAACATGTTTTGATACGGTCCACATGTGTAGCTGGAACACTGTCGGGTTCCCGTGGACTTGCTTGGTGTGCGGATGTATTAGTAGGTTCGTCCAATCTGGTAACTTGATTGTTGGACTTTCGAGATCTTCTATTAGGTCTAGGAACCATACTCTCGCTGGCCAGTATGGCGCGACCAAAGTCAGTTGTAGTGCCTGTGTCTGTTTGATCTTCAACAGTACTTCCGGAAGTAATACTGGGGGTGGAAATGGGTAAGCGTTTAGTCCTTCCCAAGATATGCTCAGTGCATCTGTTGCCCAGGCTTGAGGATCTGGAACTGGTGAGACAAACGTCTGTAGTTGTTTGTTGAACCTTGTGGCAAACAGGTCTATGCAAGGGGATCCTATTTCCCTTATCATGAGCCGGAACGCTTCTGGATGGAGCATCCATTCCGTAGGTCGGGTGCAGTGGTCGGGAGAGAGCGTCTGCAAGTATGTACTTGGCTCCGGGTATGTGACACGCCTTTATCTAGATGTTTACTTCTTCTGTGATGTGGAACAACTGGAATGTGAGCTGTAGCAGGCTTGGAGACCTTGTGGATCCTTGCCGATTTATGGAGAATGCCACTGTAGAGTTGTCTGTGTGGACCATCAGCATTCTGTTGTTCAGCGAGCTCGACCATAGTTGTAAGGCGTTGATCACGGCTTTCATCTCCAGCAGATTGATGTGAAGATGCTGCTCTATTTTGGATCACCTTCCTGATGCAACTTGATTGTTGAGATGCGCACCCCAGCCTTGTATCGAAGCGTCTACGTAGAGATGTGTGTCGAAGACCGGCTCTTGTAAATAGGTCCCTCTGCAAACCTGTGCGTCCACCATAGTAGATACCTCTTGAGGTTGTCTGGCAGCAAGATTGGGTCGACGCTGTCTAGATGTTTTGCCAAGAACCGTTGCAGCGGTCTTAGTTGTAACCTTCCTGTGCGAGTCAAGTCCTGCGCCGGGGTTAGTAGACAGAGTAGAACTTGCCATGATCATAGTGTTAACGGAGAGATGACTGCTGGTGGAATCATGGCTTGTATCTTGACCCAACGATCTTCTGGGACGACAATACGATTCTGTGTTGTGATAAACCTGATCCCCAGAAATTGCAGATCTTGTTTTGGTTCCAACTCTGACTTCATAAGGTTCACCAGCCATTCTAGTTGAGTGAGCAACTTGATCGTGAAGTTCAGCTGTAGTCTGAGTTGACTGGCATCTTGGTGAACCTGAAATCCGTCGTCCAAGTAGAAGGCATTGCGTAGACCTGGATGATGTAGATATGCGACTATAGGCTTGGTTACTCGTGTGAATAGCCACGGAGCCGAAGTTATTCCAAACGGTAGGACATTCCATTGGAAGTGCTGCCCTCTGAATAGGAATCGTAGACACTTTCTTGATTCCGGATGTATGGCGATGTGTAGATACGCATCCTGCAGGTCTATGCTGGCCATGTAATCTGCTGGATGGACGAGTAGACTGAGTTGAGGTAGATGGATCATTCTGAACCTCTCTGGTTTCAGTAGATAGTCTTTGTTGAATTTGCGCATGTTGTAAATCAGTCTGAACTTCTCCTTGGAGTTCTTCTTGGGTACTAGAAAAATTGGGGAATGGAAGCCTGGAGTGAGATGATGCTGATCTAATATCTCTACCACCTCCTTCATAAGTAGTGAGTCGATGGCTTCTTGTAGTTTGTCTGCCTGTTCCTCTGCATAGTCGAAGACCATCGGGCTGAGGGTTAGCGGAGGTGTGGCCTTGAGTTGTACACTGTATCCTTCCCTTAGTACTCGGGAGACGTAGTCGTCCTCTAGTATTCCCCAATTTTTCCAGTACCTTTGTAGACGTCCACCCACTGTCAACGGTTTTACAGGAATGGCTGGGGGTGGAAGACTCCAGTCGTTTCGAACCTTGATATCAACGTCTAGTTCCTCTGGATCCTCTGGGAGTGCGGCCTCTCCATAAGTTTCCTCTGTAATTTCCGGATGGGCGACGAAAAGATCCTTTGCTGCCTCTGAAGCTGGGGTACTTCTGTATGCCGGAATATTTGGACTTGCTGTTATACTTTTGCGAAGTATGACGGATGACATTGGCCAGAGTATCTATGGATATTATCATCATAACTTCTCTAGAGTCGTGCATAGCTGCCTTAGCTGCATCCTCTATTTGTCCTCCAAAGATAGTAGGCGCCTCCCATGGAGCTCTCAGTAGCGGTTGGGTGAATCTGTCACTCCATGAACAGGATGCAAGTAGCCCTTGTCTGTGTAGTAAAGTGAGACCTGCAGATATAGATGCCACATGGTCCGATAAAAAGTATTGGTCCTTCTTCTGTGTTATGAGCACCGAATATATCATTCTGTCCTCTTCCGAACTTGAGTTCTGGAATTTATTGATCAATGCTTCATTGATGGCTCTGGACCAGGCCAACCCGAAGAAGGATCTCCTTGTAGCAGTATCAAGTTGAGATAACTTTTTATCTTCCACTTTATACATCTTGTTTCGGGAGTCGTTGACTAACTTTATGTTATCTACCCATTCAGGCGCCTTTGTAAATTGATCCATATGATGTAAGGGGAATCTCTTCACATTAAATGATGGTAGATGCTCACTCTGGTACTTGAATGCTTTCGCGAAAGCTGTGCGTAGGTTAGAGGTACCTTGGATATAGGTTCAATCGGAGGGATAGTGACGGAGTCGAAGTCGTCGTTACGCATCATATAAGTGTAGACTTCATCTTTATCCTTAGAAGGAGACTCCAAGTTCAACCCGTTGGCAATCCACGCTGTAACATCTGAGTCTGGGAAGACGAAGTCTGCTTGCTGATCCAAAGTCTCCTGCATATCAGTGCTAGGCCTCTGCGACTCATCCATCTGCGAACCTGTATCCCTTCTCGAACCTTCATCATCCTTTCGCGAACCTATATCTGAAGATTCCTCCCTATGCGAACGTCTACCTTGAGAGTGCTCTCTTCGCAAACCTCTATCTGTAGATTCATCTCTTTGCGAACCTCTGTGATGTGAGCTATCCCTTCGCGAACGTCTGGTGCTAGATGTATCCCTTCGCGAACTTCTGTGATGTGAGCTATCCCTTCGCGAACGTCTGTCACTAGATGTATCCCTTCACGAACTTCTGTGAAGTGAGCCTTCTCCTCGCGAACCTCTGTCTCATGATGAGTGACTTCGCAAACGTCTGTGAGAGATATGAGATCTCGATCTAGCGCGGCTAGGTGTAGGAGATGGATCCTTCAATGTTCTCGAACGTTGAGGGTTCGCGGATGTAGAACTGTGAGTAGGCATCTCATCCCTTCTATCCTCTTCCAAGATGACAGGTTCGCGCAGGTCCGAAGGTTTGCGCACGGTGTCGGTAGATGAGAGGCTTTGCCGAGCCTTCGCTTCTGCCTCTTACGTTCCATCATGGCCATCATCTGGTTGGTGAATTGTCTCATAAATTCGCCCGGGTCAAAGTTCTGCGTTGGTTGAAGCTGCCGCGGTGTAGACGAAGCGTTCGCGAACGCTGATGAGTTCTGCGCCTCAACTTCACTCTGTTGAGAAGTAGGTGGTAGTTCGTCAAACAGCTGGCCTGCTGTGAGTGTTGCAGGGGATGATCTAGTAGTCGTAGAAGTCGATTGAGTCGCTGATCTAATAGGTACTTCGGGTAGAAGTAACGGGGGATCATCAAAAACGTCTACTTCATGTGGAGGTAATATCTCTTCTCTATTCTGCTGCGTTGACTTACTAGCACGCGGAGATTTACCCTCCGATCTGGTAACAGATGCTTTCTTCTGTGATGTAGAAGAAGATGACTTATTTTTCTTAGCCTGAGACGGAATCAACTGCGTTGTAGTCAATCTCTTCTTGGCTCCCTTAACAGCAGACTGCCCCTGCAACGCACTAATCATAGCACCAGTATTATGAACTTCAGCAGTAGCAAGCAACATACGGTTCGAAGGCTGATCTCCTGTTTTATCAGCCATGACTTGAGATGACTTCCTCACCCGATCCATGGCACGTCTATAGATATAAGACAAATATTGATTAAATTGAAGATTTGATAAATCAACAATAAGTACAGCGCAAGCTGGAAGAACATGATTTTATGCACGAAGGGCATTGGGGGTGAGGATCAGCCACGGATAACCTGTGCCTGCAAACACTGTAAAATTTCATGAATTGTAAACAAAGTTACATAACGATGAAATAAAGACACAAATACAAATAATTTTTACAATTTTTTTACATATAATACATAGTAGTTATTGCTAACTGTTTGCGCGGGAAAAGGGCAAAAGGGAGGTAACTCATGGGTGAGTGTATGTTTACGTCCGCTTCGGGAACTTCAAGGGATTCAAGTGTTCCACTACCATTCGAAAAGGAAAGGGAGATAAGCAAAAGATCATGAGTCCACCATGTTAGTCCACTCCGCTGACATATCATCATTGAATGAAAGTTTCCATTCATGACAACTGAGCAACACCTTGTAACCCAGGGTCTTTAGTACCATCAAACGGTATTTTTCCATTATGATTACTCCCAGTTTGACTACTCATGAGTGAGTGAGTTTTACGGTGCACTGAGCAATATTCCAGCTATATGGAGGCGTACTACTCATGAACAAAAAACATATAGTGGAGCAACCCTACACTTAATAATGTACTGTACCTGTGTAGCTGACTGCTCCCAGTTTGTCTACCCTTTGAAATAGACCTATAACAGAGACTCCCAAGGTCTACCTATAATGTTTAGAAGCCAAGTGAACCAGGGATCTTGTGATCATTTATTGTTTGTTTTGATATTTGGACATAACTCCTCTCCTCGGATTAAAACTCTGTACAGGTTGTTTGTTTTGAAAATTGGACATAATCCCTCCAAACACCATTCAAACTATTAACTGTAGTACACAAAGATATTCTCAATCATTTTTACCGAACGCGATTTCGTGGAATTTATTGCCCGATGGAGCTGTTAACACTATTTCCCTGAATAGATTAAATACCATGATAAACACAACTGAAACTCATAATTACTTTGATTTAAATTTTGGGACTAGATTTTGTCAAACCATCCATTGTCTCCTCAAGTTCGGCTGTAGTAATCTAAGCGGAGACAAACATAATCGACATATATCAAAACATCAAAGTGTTCATGTGATAACTATAATAATGAAGACGTCATTCATTACCTTTTAGCATGTCGGAACTATCAAAATTTAAGAACTGTGTATTTTTACATTCAAGGGTACGATGTTAAAACTACTTTATACGGTATTGGCGCATTAAATAACTCAACAAATAGTGACATTCTCAACACATTACACCAGTTCATTTCTTATAGTAACTGCTTCATATATACATATATAAACATACATACTCAATGTTAGACAAGTTTTATTTAACTTGATTTTCTGCGGAAGCAAATTTCGTTGCTAGGCATAACCAACACCATAACGAACATATTTATTATGCAATCATTTATCTGTTATCTTGTCTCAGTATTATTCTTATGATATATTGTGTAAGTCAGTATATGTGTATACTTGAACTCTTCCACAACAAAGACCTATAGAATTAGCCGAAAAAATATTGTATGAAACTGATCCACCTATAAGTGTTGGTGGAACAGTCTACCTGATGGAGGGGAGAGAGCTAGTAACTAAAAGCCACTCAACTGGAACAGGTTGTGTATTGGACGGGTAGTCAAACTGGGAGTAGTCATAAAGGGAATGAACCCATCAAACATTGATATTAGACCAATAGACTAAGCTGTATCTTATTTGAAATAAGGATACAAAAATTGATAATGATGCACAACTCTCATGAGAACTTGTCTGAGGTTGTTTGGGGTGTTTTGTAATTCCATATTGGTAACGCAGATTATGCTTTGTTGTTCAAGCAATCCCATTATAATGATATTTGTGTGCTTGCTACCACTACCCAAAGATATAAGAGCATCCTGTTGCAGGTCATGTAAGAACAACAAATGAAAAAACTAACAGGAAGTTGACATCAGGTAATCAGGACATGCAGAAAGCACCATTCTTAATTACAACGTACCTGATAATATAACGAGATTAATTCTGATGCAGTGATCTTAAAAATATAGTATCTGAAATTATTACTTTATAAAGATAAATTTATTCTAGTATTATGTCAATTTAGTTGCAGGTTGTGCTCTATATATAAATGTAAAATATTTATAATCATAACTATGGTTATGCGACAGCTTTTTAGAGTTATGCATAAAACAATTTGACCTGTCACCGATGAGGTTTTGCGTGTTCTCGCTATTTCCACTATGAAAGCAGTTCGTTGACATGTGATCGTCCAGCAACACTAATTATGACTTGTGGCGAAACAAAATATGTATGTGTATCCATTTACTATCAACTACACTTCACTTCGAGACATGAGTAGACGGAATATGTTAGTGATTGGCTATTGTTGTTAAGCAACATGGCTGTCACATGTACAGCCGGATTAATGAAGCAAAAACAAGTACAAAGCTAATCCGTTACCGATAACTAATGTTCGGAGTCGCAGACTGAAGCATAAGATTAATGAATCAACAACTGATGTATTTACATAGTAAACAAGATTGGTTACAGCATGAGTCTCGAAGTAAAGTGTAGTTGATAGTAAATGGATACACATACATACGCATACCGGGAATCGGATTATCGGGTAGCGGTTTAACGCAACCCGACTGTATTTTGACAAAGTACAAAAATGTGAAAAGTAAGCAAAAGAAAAGTCTCAAAAGTCTCACTGATGCCAAGGTTTTATGGCATTGATTCCCATGGGCTATTAAAAGCCTTCCCATTAATAAGTTTATCCCACTGAAGCAAGAGATAGACAAATTCTATCAAATACAACCAGTCGTAGTGCCTCTAACTGTCATTTTGGAATGTCAAATGTAGTTCTTGTCAAGGATTTATCGGATATAATATATAAATAGATGCAATGGGTAGTCAAAATATATACATCATACAAGCACATTTCCAACCATATTGCCAAATACAACATGATGAAGTCTCATCAAAACTGTTAAAAAATACAGTACATTTCATTTGACCAAAATGTCCCTAAAAAAGCTTACTTCATTAAATTAAGACAGATTCACCAGATGCTTCTCATATCTTGCATTAAAACTGGTTTCGTGTCAGGGATTCGCAGTTTGGCAGGCTATACATTGCTGACTAAGTATGAGAAACACACGGTAGGTCAAATATTAAGTGTGCAAAGAAAAACCAAAGAAGTAACACTCCACATTCACACAAGTATCTGTAAGTAAGAATGTCATAGCGAGAATGACATGCAAGACGAAGAGAGGTGCCGTAAACCCTGTCTCAGTATTAATGCGCAAAACAGCTGTAACTGGCCAAGCTGGCAAAATCAAAACAAAAGATTTCACCTTGACTTTCCAACTCCGCTTTCTCCTATAATCAGTATCTTTAAGGTGGTGAGGATTTCCTGCTCATCCATTAGTGCAACGTGATATTAACCCTAATGGTAACTTGTGCAGATTGCCCTAAATTTAAATAATGTTCTTCTTATAACAACACATCGACAGTTCACGAAAATGGCGTAAACAATACCACATGAGCAATTTGTCATCAGTTCCGTAGTTCCCGTTTGTTATAGTCATTTTTATTGGCTGGTACTGGAGGAACTAATGCGCAGATGTCACACTCAGGCGTACACTGGTTCCCGGCTCCCTTTGCGCGGGTCAACTTGCGATATGCGAGACTGGGGCCCAGCTTAAGTTGGGACTAGACTTATCGGAAACTCCGCACACGGTCAATGACCAATGATATCTAGAGTTTTCAGTATCCCTGATATTACAAACGACCTCACGTAAGTGACTCATTTTTATTAATTTTATACATCCATGGAGTAGGATATCAAAATTTAGAATCGTTGGTGAGAGTAAAAAGTTTTTAAAGAACAAATAAAATTTGGTTTTTTTTTTACTCTTTTAACTACTAGTATTACATATGAAAGATTTGTGGTTAGTCTTCTGCGGAACACCAAATTCATTCTTTAAAAACTTGTGGTTAATTAGTACCGAGCTTCTCTCTCGCCCGCCAACGATACCACAGACAGGTTACGTAACTCTGTCGCCAGAGCACTGCAGTGACGTCATATGAGGAAGGATTTTCAGTTAATTGTATAGAAAGTGTGTAGCAAGCTCGTCATTTTGATGATTTCTCGACATCAACGAAGACATGCAAAATCGTTGCGTTGTCGTCAATTGCTCCTAGGGGTCGGGCGATGGTGTCGCCACGCACAGATTTCCACAGGACCCCGCAGTTCGTGCAAAATGGGTTATGTTTGTGAGTGCGAAGCGAGCGTTGTGGAAGCCTGAAACGATATCTTACTTGTGTTCAGATCGCTTCACGGAAGTTAAAGAATCAAAACTACTTACTAGTCGTAGTAAAATATGTATATGATTGATGACCATAAAGATTTTCCATGACACAACTTGTAACATAACGATTTCTGCCTCAGAAGCGAGGTTGTGGTCGAAGTAACAATAATACTGTAAGGACACTCACCTCGCTTCCACGAGAGAAATTGTTATGTTATACGCTATGTCATGCAAAATCCTATTGGCCATCAATTAAATACATATTTTACTACCAGTAGAAGGTAGATATTTTTATGGATTAAACTTCTTTGTGAGAGAAATTACAAAGAAGTTTAATCCATAAAAATATCTTGGACATCAATGTACAACTTCTAAATGCCACTGAAAGACAGTAGAAAGTAGTTTTGATTTTGTAACTCGGTGAAAACAAACCATTTATACTCAGACTGGCGGATGTTCGCGATAGGGCGCCGCCATTTGTGAAAATCGTGAAGTCACGGGCTAAAGTCTGTTAGAATTAATGAGATTATGGTTTGTTTTCATCAAGTTAGAAAATCAACTCTACTTTCTACTCGTAGTTAAATATATATTTGAATCATAACCAAAAGGATTTTGCATGACACAACTTATAACAAAACGATTTCTTCCACGGAAGCGAGGCGGGGGGTCGAAGTGACAATACTGCGCGACAAATTTCTTGCTACATTCACGTGGAGACCTCAAATAGTAGTCTTTTGTCTAGATTAGTCAGATAATGTACGAAAAGTCTTGATTAGTTTTACATGCCTGCAGCCTTTGAAATACACCCCACTTCTCCATCACGTGGCTAAAAAGCCACCCAGAATACATGGTACAATCCATTTGCGACAAGACACACCCGATGAATCTTCATAATCATGTACGAGAAGGAACAATCAAATAAACTTTTTCGATTACAACTGTCCATGGGTGCACCATGTCACAAACAATTCCAGAAAACATAACAAAAAACAGGTTTCAGGTATTTAATTGATTCAAGAATTACAACTGAACGGAGGTGCGGGTGCCGTCTTTAAAGGAGAATACGAGTGAATTGCAATAATTTGCTGGGTAAAAAATTAAGTCATCAGAAACATGTTCCCACATTTTCAATTAAAAATTATGTATAATTATGTTTTAATCGCGAAAACAGTTTCTGTAAATCTCAGCTTCGGCCATTATGCATATTTCGCTGGAACCCACGTGACCTTTCCGCTCGTGACGTCATATGTGCCTGGAGTCCGCCATATTGCCAAAGACCAAGCGCTACAGTAGTACAAATCGTGTTGTTTCTGTCGTTTTTTTAAACGGTACGATGGTGTTTTGCGTTGCCTGGGGATGCACGGCATCATCGAACATGGGAAAAAACCACCATTTCTTCCGTTTTCCAAGTGAAAGGACAGATTTCGGCAGGAGAAATGCGCCGATCTTACCAAGTCGGACGCATATAAAGAGACATGCGCGCATAGGATATGGAAATCCCCAAGCTAGGCTGAAGAAGGAAAAAGTACCCACGAGATTCATTTATACTCCATCATTCCCTGTAACAACTTACTGTTAGTGTTATTTTTAACATAAATTAAGTCCGATTGCCAGTCGAATTTCCCCCGCTACAAAATGACCCAGCAAATTTGGTCAAATTGCCCCAGTGGGGTAGTCAAAATGCCCCAATTTATTTAAAATGAATATATATAGGCCATAAATGCATAATTATGTCAACTTTGATGTTATGTTCTTCATATGAAAGTATATACATACTTATGAGTTTACTAATGAAACATTTATCAGAAATATTACTTCCTAATGACGTTTATATGAAGAACATAATATCATAATAAGTTGACAAAAACTATGCATTTACGGCATATATTCAGTCATTAGGAATAAATTTGAACAAATTAGAATGAATGACCAAATTTCCTGGGGCATTTTGTAGCTGGGGCAGTTCGACTGGTACACATGAGATATATATTATCAAAATCAGTGAGAGATTTCACATGAGCTTGAAAATGTTTTGCTATAACGTTCTTTTCGGTTTGGAGCGCTGCCCTATATGATGCAGTCTACTCGAAACATTGCCGAATACAACGGCAAATCATGAAGTACTTGTTGCTTTCATTGTTTTCCATTTTGTCCAATTATGCACGTCGGCATCAGACTCACTATTTGTCAGTAGTGTGTGCCGTGAAAGTTTTTCTGTATTCTCATTGGCTGACAAGATGTCATTCTAAGGCTATGACCGTGTACCATAACTATTTCCATAACCAAACAATGGGGAAACATACGTTGTCCTGACTAGTATTTTATAATTCACCAGTTTTTGGGGAATAACTTATCTGCGTCGCGAATATTATCTCTGCTCGACCAGGCTGGGATCTTGTATCGAGACTTGATACGTTATTAATGAGAACTAGGATCCTAATATTTTTCAACAAAATAAATCCAGTGTAATTTTTGAAGCAGATAATTTTTATTTTCCCTCGTCTGAAACATAATTATTTTGTTTTTAAATCCCAGACACCCTACAGTCACCCATTTGACACAAAATGAACTGTAATCACAGTTTTGAAAAAATAATTCTTAGTGACTGGTCATATATTTATAGGGGTGGGTTTGCTGGCTGGAACTGTATGACATTTTGCTGACAAATAGTAATCTTGTTAAATGATATGGTCTATTTTTCAATATATTTTGACCTCAAGCGATGCCTCCGTTTCGCTTGAATCTTCTTCATCTTCAGTGGAAGATTGTCTTGCAAGATGTAAAATCGGATCGTATTAATACGGTCTAACATCCATTTCAGAAACGACATCAGGAACATCTTTTACTACTTCAGAATCTACGGACACTGTTAAGTTGTGAGGTAAAATCAAAGAGGAAGCCATCAGCAACAGGCACATGTGACGTCATGTCACGTGATACCCCCTCTGCTCATTAATTGCCGGGTGTTTCCGTAATAGGCGGAAACACCCGTTTTTGTTCCTTTTTTGTGTTTTTATTGCTATTTTACAAACTTTTTGTTCAATGTTAATCACGGAATGTGACTTTTTGAATATCCTTTGCAATATATCAAAAGTTTTGTTTTCGTTCGTATTGTCCTTTAAGGACTATATTTATTTCACTCCAATATTCTCTTCTCCAGAGGCGGTTCTTCTGTGCCAACGGATTGCTGTCGATGAGCTCGTTGTTGTTGTCGCAGTTCTTTTCCTTTGAACGATGACATCTACTTTTCTGGCCATTTCTTTGGACGTTCGCTGAAAGAAACAGTAGTGATGTTTAATTGTGTAGAGGTATATTATTTCACTTATTATGTCATTTAATCAGAAACAGACATCATATGTGTGCTTCGAACAATGTTATTAAATCACGATGGAGTTATTATTCATTTAACTGTAAATGTTGGTACTAGTAATAAGGTTTCCAACTAATTGTGGCACAAGAAAAGCAGAAATTTGTTTACAACTACATGTATATATTGTCCTACCAGTCTTACAATATCTCTTAACTAAAATCGTGAAATATGAATGTTTACGAAATCTATAGAAATGTAAAAATTCTGTCCCAAAAGCTTCAATGTGAATTACATACAGCATTTTACGTTAATTCCCTGATTTGTCAGACATTAACGAATTATTGTAAAAGACAATACCTTGTAACTACGGACTGCTGATGACGTGTCCGGTCCGTTCGGTGATGAGCTGTTCATCCATACGAGAGTCATACAGGCGTGTCGCAGGTGTCGCCCTCAGAGTGGTTTGAGAAAACGGCTGCCTTGCAGAGTCGTCTGTGTCGGTGGGTGTACACCGATGGGGTTGTCAGCAAACAATGCATCAGCTAACTGGTAGCGGAGAGATCCAAGTACAGACTGGTACACGAACCCTTGTGGCCTTGAATAAACGTGCATAAAGAGTCCAAATTAAACAGTATTCTAAGTAATTTCAGGAATATATTATAATAATCATTTTTAATATGCAGCTTTATACAAATCAAATGTACCGTGTATTATTAAATATATATCATTTAAAGGTCTTGAAAATATTAATTCTTTGTGACACACATGGGAAATATAACATTATCATTTACTGAACCAAAATTCCTCAACATATTACACGTAATTACATGATGATTCTTAAATGAACTGCTAGACTTACCAAAGGGATATACACTTCTCGTACAGTCGCACTAGACATCGTTCTGGGCGGGGTTTGTTTTCCCTGACAGTGACAGTTT